GTAACATTATATGGTATTTCTCAAAATCCAATTACAAATGAAATTTTTATAGTAACTGAATTAATGGAAAATGGAGATTTAAAAACATGGTTAAAAAATTTACCAAATTTACCGGAATATTCTACATTATTACGATTTTCAAGAGATATTTCAAGTGGTATGACTTATTTAGAATATCGTAATTATGTTCATCGTGATTTAGCATGTCGAAATATTCTTCTTGGTACAAATGGAAATCTTATTAAAATTGCTGATCTTGGATTATCAATTATGATAGATACAGATCAACGTCAAGAAGCTCATTCAGAAAAATTACCAATTCGTTGGTTAGCACCTGAATTACTTGATAATCAAGCTGCTTATTCGATTAAATCAGATGTATGGTCATTTGGTATTCTATTGATTGAACTTTGGTTAAAAGGTGGAGATCCTTATGGTGATCAACATCTAACATGGATTTCATCTGCTGTTAGTACTGGATATGTTCATGAAAAACCATCAGATTGTCCTGTTGAATTTTATGAATCTATAATATGTCAATGTTTGAAATTTAAAGCAAATGATCGACCAAGTTTTACAGCTTTGAGACAATTGTTAGAAATATGGCAATGTTAATTCTAACAAAAATTTGCTTTTTAAAGATATTATTATATTAATAAAAATAGTCAGTTTTTTTTATAGAAATACTTTCATAAAAAAAATATGAAATAAATGAAATATTGTTACTAATTTTTATCTATGCTAATTCTAAGTAATATTTATAAATATACTTAGGGCACAGAGGTCTCAATGGATCGAGTCAACGAAAGCCGGTTTGGCCTATGGTTTTTCCTCGAAAAAATAGTCTACCCATGGGCGCCCACAGACTGTTCATGTAATTGCATTCGATTTTTTAACACATGAATGAGCAAGCATGTTTCGAGTATCAATAGTTAATGTATAAACAAATGTTCGATAATATATGTGACAACTTACAAAGCCTTCAATTCTCTCGAATTCATTAGTATTTTCTTATTTTTTAGTTGGGAAATCAAATACTTTCTAGCATAAAGATGTGCTTGTTTTTTCTTTTTTTGATAATGCCACATGTCAATAGTTGTTGTTTCAAAAGAAAGAAATTGGTGGTTGTATCATTCTTCTTCTCTCGCTAGTCTTTCTTTTTTAACTTTCTATTGTTGTGAGTGTCCTAAGGATATTAGATCACTACGCCAAAACTTAAACGACAAAAAGTACTGAATTATATTAAAACCAATGCCAGTGATTTTTATCTTATGGGTGTGGGTATGGGTGCAAAGTTTTTATCAGCTAGATTCTCTAAAAATTATCGTTGTTACTTCTCTTCTCGAGGTATGGTGGTCGCCAGATCATTGAACTGATGCATCTGCTAGTGATTTTTTTGGGCTACAAAATGAATAATAAGTTTATTTGAAGAGTCAAAATTCTAACGAATAAAAGCAAAACAACTATTTTTTATGTTAGAAAATCGCACGCAGCGCAGGAGGACACTATTATTCTGTCATTTTTTTAAAATGAGAATCTTAGATTGAATGTTGTGATATAATTTTGTAGAGAATTAAAAAGAAAATCTTTTGGAACTCGGCACAAATTTCTATAGTGAAATCTACCCGAGAAAAATGCAAAATACAAGTTGTGCGATTATTTATGGCCCACCCGTGATGTATAAATAATAAACTTTACAATAGATAGTTTAACACAACATTACTTGTCCTTTTGCTTAACAAGAGTGATCTAAAAACATAATATTTCACATAAATCTACCTCTTCTTCTTCTTCTTCGATGAATGACTTCATTTATCTCAAAATAACTAGCTGTTAAGTCACATATCGATTCTCTGAATGAAATTCATCATACAAAAAAATGAATTTAGCTTTAAAAATCTTTCATTAATGTATAAAAATCTAATATTCAACAAAGGTTAGCATAAATATGTCTGTCATCATTTGGGTACAAAGAAGTGACCCCCTAAATTGATTAATTCTATCATTCTTATGCAAACATTTAAGTGAAGACAATAGAACAAATAAGCAAAGGGTATCTATATGCATTACTGGTTGTTGATATTATCATTACTCCCAGGAGATTATTCTAACAAGAAGTTAAGTAGCCATATGAAGAAGAATTGTGTTCATTATTTTTTCTAGAGCATATTACAATAGCTGACGATAAATGAAAGAACAAGATATTATTGGACGTGATGTGCCATGAAAAACATACTCTCGAGGGTGAACAAACGTATGTTATATTGTTTTCTTTGTATTACATATCGCACAGAACTATGATAGATAAAAGCTTTGTTAAACGTACAATTTTCTACTCTAATGTTTTCCAAGTAGGGTTGCCATCTCTTCCGCTTTTTCTCCTTTTTTCCACTGTTCCGCTTTTTGATATAAAAGTTTTTTCCATATTTCAAATTCTGTATAGAAGAAAATCTGTTCGTATTGAATCAATCGTGATCATTGACGTATAGAGTTTGCTATCGTTCTTATTGATTAATCTATTAACTCAGTATAACAATTTCACGTCTTGAGGTACGTGAACAAATAATCAGATCAATTAAGATCAATACGAAGTTTGTTGACTTGCAAGCATAGAACCAAAGACAGAGTAAACAGATGAAAGAAAAGAAAGAAACTAAATAACCATATACTACATCAAAGAACGAATCATATATATGTATATCTATATGTAGAGAGATAGAGGTAATATTCCAAAGACCAAAAAAAGAAATATTCTACAGATCAAGAAAGGAAAATAACAACAGAGGAAAAATCCAAATGAAATATAAGAACCAAAGATAACATCATAGAAAATGTTCAACAGAATCAGTTCAGTGAATAGGAATAATTCCAAGTCATAAAGACACGACGTCACGAACAACATTAAATTTTTTTCAATGACAGAGAGGCTCTGTTCTTAATTCCTATTCGTGAAGTAAAAATACTGTTCTGTTTTCAATTGATAGTTATCTCTGTTTACCTACTTATTTTGCGCGCTTTATTTACATAGAAAAACCTCAAATGAGAAAATCAAAACAATTTTTCTGTAATCAATTCGTAGCAAGATAATAAATGAAGATGAAAATAATCATGAAAATGTGATAACAACAACACTAATGTGATAATCAGATGAAAATAAAGACGTGAAAGCCATAACAGATACTTTTAAAAAGAAGAAGAAAAAGATGTGGGTTTGTGTCTAGATTTTTTCTTCACGGATACCCTACCAATACCAACACCCATACAACTATACTCCACACGCATCTTCACACCAACACTTCAATATAAATTTTCGCATTTTTTCGGATGAAATTTCCGCTTTTCAGGCTTCATAAGGTGGTAATCCTATTTCCAAGTCAAGATAAAAAATGAGAAAAATAGTCACTAAATTACTCATCGTTTTCCACTAGTCACAGAAAAAAATCAATTTAACGCATAATCAACAGAAATCGTACGTCATTTAAAAAAAAACATATTTCGTCGGATTTGTCAATTCTAATAAAAAAAGTCTCTTTTCTCTATTCAATTCAATAGATTCCAGTTAAGTAATACAAAGACTATATAATAGTGATATTTTTTTTTAATTATAAATTTCTTTTTATATTTTATTTCTATTGTAGATCAACATGAATAATTTCGATAATTTTCTACCAATAATTTCTGATTCAAATATGTTCAATCCAATACATTCATCTTATCTTGAACCATTAATATGGAATCAAACAAATCAAACAACAATTGCACATACTCATCATCCATTTTTATATGTTATAGCAATATATGCTTTACTTCTCATTATTATTGGAACAATAGGTAAATCAAATTTAAGAGTGTATACAAAATCTTGTTTTTTATTTTCATAGGAAATATTTTAACTATAATTATTCTTCTTCGACCTATGTTAAGAAAATATACAACAATGCGTTATTTAATAGCAGTAGCTACAGCTGATCTTTGTTCATTATATTCATGGAATTTAAATTTATTCTATAAACATTTAGTTAATCCATATCAAAATGATCTTGAAGATTTATCAATTATATCCTGTCGTATTATATCATTTATTGCATTTGTTAGTTTAGAATTGTCATCATGGTTTTTAACATTAGTTAGTGTAGATCGATGTCTTAGTATACATTTTTTATTTTGGCCTCGAAAAATGGGTCGAGCTAATTATGCTGTTTTTATTATTCTTACTGTTACAGTAACAATAATATTAACTAATAGTCATTTATTTTTTCTGAATGGATATCGAGAAAAAAATTGTATTCCATTTGAAAAACGTACTTGCATTATTTGTTATTCAAATCTTAATGATCCATATTATATATTTCCAAAATGGGAAAAAATACATGTTATTATTTATAATCTTATACCTTTTTCAATAATGCTTATTTCAAATTGTTTTATAATACGTCGTGCTGTAACACAAACATCATTAATTACAACTAGAAGAAATTGTAGTCTAATTGATCGACAACGTAAACAAAAACAATTAACATATCTTCTTTTATTTGTTACTTTTTTATTTGTTTTATTAACAACACCAGTTATGATTTATAATGTTTTTTTAAGAAATTATATAGCAAAAAGAAAATTAATGAAATATATCTTACATGGAATACTTTTGTGTATGCAATTTACAAGTCATGCAGTAAGTTGGATTATCTAAGATAAAATTATAAATTTTTATTGTTTTTTATTTTAGATTAATTTTTTTATTTATTGTAATGGTTCATCAAAATTTCGTTATGAACTTAATGAATTTTTAACAAATTGTGTATTCAAAAAGGAAATTAGAACTTTAAGAAAATTTTAAATAAATATCTCTTCAAAAATTCAAACAATCGAAAACAAATCTTGAATGGTTCATTATCATGAAACGTCGTTTCAAATTTTTACATTAATTATAATTAAAATTAAATGATTTATCCTTTTCTTAATCCTTACTGTAAATCAATTATGAAATTTTCAATTTTTTTTTTGTATTTGTTTGAATATGTTATTCATATCTATCAAATAAGAAAAGTCGAAATAATTCAAAATGGTTTTTACAATAAACTATACCTCAGTTTCAATTTTATTATTTAAGTAATATTGTAGTTATATTAAAAAAAGTGAACGATATCTAACAGTTATTAATATTCAAGAGATACTTTATTGATTAACATTGTTAAATGTAAACGTGAGAAATGAAATGATTAAATTTTTCATGTTTTTATGATTATTGTCATGATAGAGAATGTCTATCAAGAAGACCTCATTTGAAATACTCAGAGTGTACGTAGATGTTGATTAAGAGAAGAGTCACATCCTAGATTCATTCATAGCCACACACGTCCACACCTTTACATCCATATCCTTTTCAGCAAAAATCTGTACCGGTGGTCAGTTCGTTTTAGAGCTTCATGCACACGAGTCAACTTTGACTATTATACTATGCTGTACCATAGCGTACACAATGAAAATCATTCGAATTGAAAATCGATTTCCTCACTTCGTGAGGTCCCCTCGTTACTAAATTGTAAGGAAACCACTGTGCGACGACTGATGTATTAACTCAAGCGATGAACACGATAAATATATTTATCGAAATAGATAGAAGCTTGAGCAGATCTGTATATTCATGAAATAATTGAAGTCTGATCGTTGAATTTTGTGACTATTTCTAGAAATTTCTCTGTTTGATTCTTTCGATTGGAGAAAGCATATTTTTCAAAAACAATGATCTCCTATAAACGTTGACTAAGAGTTGTTTGTATCGAGGCAATCGACTGTATAGATGATTTTTTCAAGATTTTCAAAACTCTCTGAGATTATGCAGCTGTTAAGAATCCCGTGGAAATCCTACTGATGATACCAGTAACATAGCAGACAATTGATATACTATGATAATTGAGCGAAATCAGGCGATGCTTTCTAAGAACATCCGACCATCGAACTGTTTTATCTTAGTAATTGGAGTAATTGCGTAGTCACAAATTCCAAGTTGTGATCAGTGTTCGTGAACTCTATGATGTTCCAATAGAGTTTTAGCGTAGAACTCAATTGGATCGTGACACTACTAGAAGTTTTAAGAATTCAATACCAGGATCCGATCAAACTTCAATAGAAAATATCCAAATGTCATTCTGTCATCCGGTTGCTGACAATATTCATATAGAGCTCTAGTAGATTTTATAGGATTCTGATAGCATCCGATAAGGTCGGACTATTGAAATAAGTCTTCTGAGATGCTTTCTAACATCTTTCGTCGTTTGACGTGATGTGTTATAGCCACATATCATTATTATCAGGGATACAAGTAAAAATTATTCACATACTGTTGTAATTCGCTCGTCAATCAAAAGTTCAAATGATCTGTGACCAAGATGATTTTTTTCCTTTTTCATCACTTGTGTCTTTAGTCTTAATATAAACGTGACATCAACGCAGACTTGCAGATGATAAGATTGAATTATTGATTCGTTTAACTTATAAATCGACTCATTTGTAAATTACACATATTATTTCTATGAAACAATGTTTAGGGTTACACGTGCTTAGATCATCACTAGGGATCCAATTATCAGTGCAACATGGAAACACTTCACACTATTCGAACACTCAACAACTCACAACGAAGAAAATATCAAGATAATAATTTGACTTTCATGATCTTCAAACAAACTGTTTTCTCACGTCCAATGGAAAATTGAAGTACTATGCTAGAAGAGTACAAAATGTTTCACAATGATCAATCGAAAAGCAACTAGCGCCAAATTGATTTGTGATGAAAAGTCTAATCTTTTTCTTTTAGAAGCATAGCAGGAATTGTGTGTCCATGAAATTCAACAAGTTTAAATGATTTACTGAAAATCATGAAAAATGTTAGTGAATTTCGTGTAGATAAGCGAAGACAAGTTAGTGTTTCCTTCATTATCACATAGCCATAAACATTCGTGTCCTTGCATACGACAAAAAAACTATGAGTTTTAATTTAATATTTGTTGATAGATATTAGTCAACATAAAATATATAAGGATGATAAAAAAATAGAATGATAGAACATGAAAGCTTTTTGTTCACAATCGTATAGTTTTCAATATAATGAAGATTTGAAACTCGTCATTGTTTCAGAACTAGGTAGAGTTTTCGTAAGTTTGTGCTGTTAAAGATGACATAAATGCCTCATAAGATGGAGGCGGTTGTTCTTCATGGGTGACACACGCTATAGGTCTTGAAATTGTGTAAGATGCATGGTTTCTATTCGCTCTTGTTGTATTCGTGTGAATACTTGTCAAGAGAACATCACCTGTTCGTGTACTTCGATTATATCTTGACGACATGGCTTCTTGATTCAAAGTCTTGTTTCGCTCGTACCGATAAGCCAAAATACTAACAATACTAGCACATAATATAATGCAACTAAAAGTAATACCCATAATTTGTATTGGACTCAATGTAGAAGCAGAACGATCAGTTTCACATGTCACCAAACCGCCACATGATTGATGAGCTGTGTAGAAAAAAAAACCAAGATATAATGTAGTGGTTAAATAAGTTTTTTTTTTAGAAGCTTTACATCATGGTATTTCCTAATGATCTGTTGTTTTATTTCCTTTAGCAAATTGCATTTACTGGTGCAATTGCAATCCTCTAAGAACGAAATATCTGTGTACGCTTAATCAAGGTAAAGCGAAATTACGAATTATTCATCAAAGTTACGTGCAATATCCTCGAAATTTGATCGAGATGGAATACATTCATTCGAAAAGGTTTTTATAGAAATCGTAAGAATTTTGTCGGTTACATGTTCTAGAAACTGTTGAGAGAGTTATCTTCAGCGAACGGTTTTCTTTACTAAGAAGTGATATTTTTGTGTTAATGAAAAGACTACATGTGAAATATTTGCTGTTTATTAATTCTAAGAAAATCTCATCAAAAGTGACAACTTTTGGAACGAAATAATATACCGTGGCTCGAAAGTTGTAGAGTTTAGTAAGGAAGTGTCCGCAATTTTTGAGAGATAAGAGCAGATTTATACGGTTGATTGTGAATTCAGCCATCGAAGGCATCTACGCTCAAAACTAATACATTAAAAATAGAAGTTGAACTTGAAAAATACAAAAAAGTGATCTCATCGTTCAACCACAATGTAAATGAACAATTCATGAAATTTTTCTTCTAATTAGAAATCTGAATAATAACAAAATTTTGCTAAAAGAAGGCTAAAGACATGCTTCGTCTCTTCCTAATAAATCTGTACTCATTTCGCTATTTTGTTCTTTAAGGTGCACTTCTCTCATTCATTTTAGAAAGGCTTCTTTTTATATCAGCTTCTTGATGTTCTAGTAAGCGTTTTGATATGCTCTATACAACTCTATCAAAGAGTATGTGCAATATTTAACCGTATTTTTTCAGCACGAATTGGCGGCATAGTGAAAGACTGAACATATCATTTAGTGGAAATTGTTATGCTTTTATTATTGAGGAACAATAAAAAAAATCGTTAGGTTACCAAACTTCATGATCGGAGCCTTTTCACTTTTCTCTCAATTTCTGCTTTTGACGATCTTCTGATTGAGTTCGTTACAGAAATATAGGTAGACAAGTCAAATCATAGCATTTTGTTACCAGTTTTGTTAATCTGGAATGCAATCGTGCAAAGTGAACTGTTTAATGACATGGCAGCCTAGAATGTCTATGACATGAGGCTTATATATTACACCTGTTCTTTTCATGCAGTTTCCAAGTGAACTAAATGAGAGCTTTTCTCAGACGAAATTCTTGACTTTATCATGAAGAAATCATAGAGATTTTGAAGAAAAACTAAGACTACAATTTTTCATGCTGCACACAATATATAAATCTCACCGCGTTAAACGAATCAATGGTGAAAAACAGATAGGTGAACATGGTTGGCACACGGTATATCCGGTGTGTGACTTTATTTTTCAAACAATGATCAACAACTCAGAAAGTTATGCTCTGACTTGTTCAATACATACCATAGTTAACGAACTAGAGCATAATCAAAATGATTTGTGTATATCTACATATTGTCGTAGTAAAAAAGCCAAAAAAACCTATTTTGCCAGATAGCTAAAGGATTTAAAACTCCGTACAATTAGATTCTACAGATTTCGAAACCATGAACCAAATACATCATGATAACTGCGACCGACATCAACCGGATTGATGGATCGGGTCAACTTAAAAAGGAATGTTATACCATATAATGAATGTACGGAAAACTAGGCTAGCTTATTTAAGCACGCTATGCCCAATAATCACAGATTGAACTGAATCTTTAGTATCTTATAAGATTCTTGTTTGCCAACATCACCGAGAAAACGACGCTTTCCAGCAAGTGACAGCAACTGAATAGTTTTTAATTGACTAATGACAGCTAATTCACTCACATGATGTTCTGATCGACCTACCTGACGTCAAGCTAAGCCATGCTGGGCCAAACGCTGTGACTGAGAAACTTCCTGTAATAGCCGTACTATATGTTGTCACAACCAAAACATATGTGTTTCCGGATCGTAGTTTACGACTGATTCGAAACTGGTGATCACCGTTATCATCATCATCAGTTGTAATCAAATTCTGAGAAGGATTGGATGGATCAATATGATCATTGTACAAAAACCCGTAGGTGTCCATTGAACTTCTACTTGTAAAAGTATATGTGCCAGTTATGGAAACTGTCACCCGGATCGCTTCATAATAGTAATTGACATTATTACCGTTAGGCCGCATAAATTTTGAACTGTTCGATGATAAAGTGCCCGAGTACATTGCTGAAATAATAGTTGAAGGTGTCGTTTATCAAGTCAAACGCAGTAATTGATAAAGAACTCTCTATTAGCGTATTCGATGCCACTGTCTTTTTCAGTCAGTTGGAAAACTAAGTCTTGTCGTGATAATTTTTGCCGCTATATTGCTAAGTAAAATATGGTCAGATACTTAGTTAAATATATTAGACATTCTATGAACAAAAACCATCTATTTAGTTGTTGAGGAAAAACAATTTTATAGTACGGATATCTTACGAAATTGGACATACATATTGCTGATAAGTGATAGGTTTGGAGATTGGTGACGATATGAGAGTTTTTTTTCTGCGATCTACACCAATACTGTCATACATCTATTAACAAACACTTCTTTTATTCTCACTTATTTAATATTCGTCGCAGATACAAGTAGATGAGAGTTTGACATTGGATTTCCCTCCTCTAACTCGTCTCTTTGACAGGCGTCGCACAAAAAAAGACACATTTAAGTTTAGCCGGATTCCACGTCAAATTGTGTCAGATGCAGCGAATCAACTTTCTTTGAATCATTTTCGGATTGTCCTTTGTTCAACGTTTTCAAAAATGATACTCTAATTTTTTCCTTCATAAAAACGATCGATCTCCGAAATCAGCGTTCTGCCGAAATTTTTCACAAAGAAATATTTCTAACAAGCATCTTAAACTTTCTTCGTTTATTTCTTTCTTTAAAAATATGCTAAATAATTATTGAGCCTTAGTTGCTAAGTTCAGTTGGCTTCAAGTTTAAGACAAGGCATACTCGACGACTTTTCAAAATCAAATATCTAAAGCACAGACTATTCTGATCAAGCACTCCCTATGCTTATAAACAACATAACATATGTTTACATTTATTTACTTATTATTGGTGTAATTGAAGTCAGATCAAGCCGCGTTGGACCAGTCGCTGTGACCGAGAAACTTCCTGTAATAACCGTACGATATGTTGTCACAACCAAAACATATGTGTATCCGGATCGCAGGTTAACACTGATTCGAAACTGGTGATCACTGCTGGTATCGTCATCAGTTGTAATCAAATTCTGAGAGGGATTG